ACTATACAGTATTGGATAGTATGTAACCGTTACATACTATCCAATAATACTAGGTAATAATAGGTAAACGTACCTATCTAATKTATGTTACTCGTTACTGTACTGTTAGGTTAATTTAATTGTTAGTACTTTTTAAAATATTGTATTTTTACAACTATAGTTATTCTATATAACACTGTTTACATTTGAGTAAAAGAGTTGCGACATTAGTTATTTATAAGTAACTTAGAAAAATTACGCGTTACATATTTGTTTTTATAAATTAAAAAGAAGTTCATTTTGACAAAATGTTCTGCATGATAATGCTTAATATGAAACTATAGTTTATCACAAATTTACTATTAACTATTAACTCTACTAATGTAATATTATTAATTTAATTTTAAGTAAGTAAAAAATTACAGAATACTTCTAGTTTTAATTGACATGCGTTTTGTATTTTTGTTATAACTTAAAGTTGAGTAATAATAATTAAATAATTTTAATAATTTTTACTTTGCATAGATTTTTTAGCTGTATAATTATAATTAAATTGATGCTTATCTAATAATATTAGTCATACTTTTACTGAGAATCTGACAATCGCATGTCAACTTGATTTTTATACGGGTGCACCAATGTATTTTATGTAACAATGTAAGACGCTCGTCCAAAGTACCTAGTATACCATGTATACATATACTTTGCGTGTAAGTTCGTCTAGTTGGTAACTTACAGAAATATTCAAAGCAAAAATATTAAAGTTGTTGTTTATTATATATATATATATATATTTTTTATTAATATTATACGAGTTAAAAAAACACCATGAAATTATCGCTATTTTATTATTCAAAAAACTCAATGTTATATTATTATTTTTTATAAGTGCCTGCTTTTAACGTAAAAATTGACTAAATAGTAAGTTATAAAAAATTAAAACATGTATCAGTATTGTGTAAAACACGTTAGAACATGTTTAAGTATTAAATATCGCTATTATTTATCTATATCTATTTTTATTATAATATTAAGTAGGGTTAGGTATTTTGTTCTAGACATTTTCTTGAATAATACTAATATCTACAATCCCATTGATACTATTTGTTTAAGTCTGTAATTTTTTATACTAAGTAGTGAGTTCATCGAAAAACTTTAGACTTACATTAGGAATTAGTAACGTACACTATGGATATTTATCTCACATCTCCGTTTAATTTTCTAACCAACATTTTTAAATTAACTCTGGATATCTATAGATTTAATAATTTAAGTACCTAACACGTTTGTCCGTATTTTTTTTCATGTTTGATACATAAAAAAAGTAAAACTATATTGGTGTAACTTTTCTTTTTTTTAATCAAAATGATAATATATTCTTGTCACGTCAATATAATAATTATCAATCGCACATGCGTATTAGTAAA